ACCAGTAGTTGCTTTGAACTACTGCAGTACCAGGAATACCAATAAGTTGCTTTGAACTTTGCTATAGGCTCTTTATCTGCTGTGTTACTATTTTGTGGTGGTTCTTATGTCCATTTAGATATAAGCAATGCATTTCTTTCATACTGCTGTAAAATGCTTGGGTGTTGTCCATTATTTTGAAACTTAAAACATTTATCTAGGATTTTGAAATTCTTTGATGCTGTTTTTTCTTTTAACATGGTGGGACTGTTCCTTAACACTGTTCCTGTTTTACTCACAAGGGTGCCTTAAATTCATCAGAAGGAGGAAGAGCATTTAGTGATAGAAGAGATTGACAACAATGGGCAGAAATGCTTGTTGTATCAGAAATTCAGCTTGTCATTTATTAAGCAACACTAAAAACTGTCAAAGTAACTAGGTCAGTAAAGGATAAAGTACATCCTAGCTGCCATATGGCTGATTGCTATGTGATAGTTATTGTTAGAAAGAAACTTTGCAAAGCTGAGCTTTCTGTGCACAAATGTGGTTTTGAGCAATTCAGTAGCTATCCTGAGACTACTAAATGGTGAATTTTCTCCTTTCAGCTGATGGGAGAATGTGGTTACTAGAGTGATCATGAATCTTCCTAAATAATTGCATAGGATATACTTTGACACAAAATATCTCCTCTTCCAGATTTAGTCTTATTACCAAGCCTAAGGGTTAAGGAAAAGTAAATCTATAACATTGGAGTGAAAAGAATTAAAAGCTGAATATGGTATAACATGAAAAAAGACCTTAAACTAAAAATATCCTTTAAGTCTCCTGTTCAGCCTTGTTGTTTGACTGTGCTTCTGTCCTGTCATTTCTCCATATCTGATCATTTAGGTCTGTTTTTATCTGGTCATTTAGGTCTATTTTGGTACCATCATCAGGCATTCATCATGGTGTTAGAGCTCTGTGCAAGTCCTGAACAAAAAACGCTGTGCAAGAAAATACACATTCATGTGGAAATGGAGTGAATCTAATTCAGAAGAATTAACTTTAGCATCAAAGCAATTGAGTAAATTAGTTCAAAATAAATGATGGGGAAAAGTCAGTAAAAATTAAAATAGAATAGGGATTGTATGTGGGCTTTTTTCCAGGGAGTCTGCAAACCAGTTCTCTACTTGTGTAAAATTCCACCTCAGCATGAGACTACCCTCTGTTATACTTGATGTGTCTAATTTTTTTAACCTGTCCTATTACTGCTTTTGATAATTAATTTCTTAAAGTGTGTATGCTACTTGAGTTTTTTCTTTTAACACAAAAGCAAAGTGCTCCCTCTGTTTTTGAGTGTAGAGGGTTAATGCGTGAGGTATTTCCTATAGGACTGATAGGTTTATACATGAAATTTTAGAAAGGATGTATACAAAGAAAGCTGAAGGCTAAGGTGCAGGCAAAGAATAGATAGAAAAACTGGAGGTTTTGTTTAAAAGGAAATTTTGGTCAATAACGATTGTTTTTTCAAGGCTGTTGCCTTTGACACTGACACATGAGCAATGCCTCTGGGTTCATTTAAAATGCAGATGATTTTTCCCAAGGCCTGTGGCTTGAAATGACAGACAAAAGAAGATTTTTGGGTGACAGCCTTCCAGTTGTCAGGCTAAGTCTGCCTGGAATCCATTTGATCATTATGCAGTGTAGCTTAAAAAATGTGCCTGAGAAGAAAAAAACCATGCATTGCAAGGGAGCTTCTCAGCCCTGTATAACTTGTGTAAAATTTGGAGTTGCTTTGGATTCGTTCCCTTGAGAGAGCTTCCTCCTGGCTTGCAGAGGTATTTCTTACTATATTTATTCATTTCAAGTCTCATTACATTTTGCTTCGGGACTTCTTAGAATTTTGTGTGAATGAGAAGAAATCTGGCACTTCCCCTCCTGATTAAAGCAAATGAACATGCAGAGCCATATTTCTCCCTAGTTCTAAAAGAAGTAAGAGAGTTTGGAAGTTAAGGTATACGGATCATTACAAGATACTTTCTCATTAGATCAGGTAAATGTGAAGAAAGGAAGGGGAGGAGAAAAACTTGTGTCTTGTACAAGGATAGCCTCTGGTGATACCAGGAATTGGATCAACCCTTAAGAAAACCACAGAGCACAAAATAGAGCTTTTGAACAGCAAAGAATTGGAACTGACCTGCTGAGCTGGATTTCCCTCTGTACTACCAGGAAGAGAACAGCAGAGCTCTTCCTAGTAGTATATTACTTCTGCAGCACTTTCTCTTCCAGTTTTCCTTTGATGTCTTCCTCATTTGTGACTGTCCACAAAGCAATGAACTCCCTTCCACCAAACATACAGAAAAGAATATGATCCAGCAAGAGGTGCTTCTGTTTGCGCTCAGGGTTGCTGTATTAATTCCCTTGGGAATATAAGGTGGGTGAAAGCAGCACAAGAGTGGATCACCACTTGATGGCACCAAATAAAATTGAAAGAACCTTTGAAGTAAATAGGGAACTCAGCTTTTCTGCAGTGTGTGAGGGCACCAATATAAATAAGTCATACTTGCTGTAGTAGTTCAGCACTCCATGAAGCACTCTCAGCCTCTGTTAAACTTCTCCATTTTTCAGTTTCTTTCACACAGCATGAGTACCTCAACACTGTTGTAAATAATAAACAATGGGGCTTCATGCAGGAACTTAGTAAATAGGCAATGTATTCTTAGCCCAAGGAGCTGGCCAGTTTATGAGCAAGAGAGTGTACTTGCTTGGGTAAAAATGTTCTGGTTGCCTTGTACTGAGGCAGTACACTCACTGTGTCTCTTCCATGTTAGTGAAACTGATTTAGCAACTGTTAGTGAAAATTGAGCTTCTGGACTGCATCAACTTCCCAAAATAAGGAGAATTCTAGAACCACCACATTATATGCTGTTAGATTCACCATGACCTTGATATTTCAGGATCTTCTTGTAGTACAGATATTCCTCTTCTTGTTTCCTGTTGGGGCAGATGTTCTCAGCTCAATGACTGGAAGGATGACTCTATTGGTTCTTCAACCATTAACATTGAAGTGTACCAACAGAGAGCTTCCCTAATACTGTTACAGTTGCTTCTCCTTGTTTTTCTGAACACATTATAAGAATCCTGTGCTTCTTGGGTTTTTATTAGTTTTAAGAAAAATGAGTTTCAGTATCAGGCATCTGCAAGATAACCTTCTGGGTTTTCCATTAAATACACAGCAATTGCTAGAGGCTTCCTTTATTTAATTCATTCTGAATCCTCTGCTTTCTGTAGTTTAAGCTTCCTTTTTCTTTTCGTCTGTCCCTGAACATATTGCCTGTTTCATGGACAAAGAGAAGGAGGAAGATGTTAATACTTGTCAAAGTGATGAGCCACCTCTTCTTTTCCCTGATTCCAACTGTAAAACCAGAAAACTGTTGGTTTATTTTCTCAGCTATCAGAATAGAGACAGAGCTTATCTCAGCCTTAAATGGATCAGCAACCATCAAAGATTGCAGCATACTTATTTCCCTTTCACTTCCAATTCTCCTACATTATGGATTAATGGAAGTGTCTGGAGTTGAGGGATTGCAATTACAGCAGCAAAGTGGATGCTTGTAATTTAATATTCAAAGCATGCTTTTCTTTTTTATTAAATTCTAATTCCGTGGGGAGATTTCATGTGCCACTTAAAACGCCATATATTTAGACTCTGTAGTGATCTAGCTCCACTTTTGGCATAGATGTCTCCTTCATTCTGAAGGCTTCATTCTGGGCTGCAGTACTTTTCCAGGCTTGGTCATCTGTGTAGCCCTCAGCAACAGGCAAGAGATTTACTGAGGGGAACAGGGAATTGGTGGCCACGTTAATCTGATAAACATTCTGGAAAGCATGCTCGCTCAGAGGGAAGAGTCAACCCTGCCTGTAAATGATGCTGCAGCTTGGCTTGGGGCTGCAAGCATCTGCACATGAGCTCAGCTCTGTCATTGGCATTTTCTAGGGAAGTGGCAGTCACTTCTGTGCTGGGGACTGAGCTTATTTTTCATGCATACAAATTGAACTGAGAAACATTGGATGCATCTCATCACAGTAGGGTGTGAAATTCAACCCAGGACCAAGGCAGCAGTTTCTAACATTGGACTCTTAATTGGTGTTTGAGTGTTGGCCAAAGTTAAAGCTCCATGTGCTTTTTGTCACCACTTCTCCAAATGCAGAGCAAAGTGCATATGTGTGAATAAGGATGAAATAAAAGAGGCTGAACTTAAAGGTATTCAATTTACAAATTGATTGAGCAATGGGGCAGGTTGCCTGGCAATACTGCTGAAGCCATGACATGAGATGTGTCAGAGTAGGTTGTCAGTGCAGAGGGGCAGGGAAGGGCTCTCAGCAGAGTTTTCCCTTGCATGAGGTTTACCTCACTGATGAAGATTCCTAAGGCAAATGGAGCATGCAAACAGCACAGGGATGACCTGTGTTGAGGCATAATGAATTCTTAAGTGGTGAAGTGAGGCATGGGTTAGAGAGGGTGGGAGGGACCAGATTACACAGGCTCCAAAGTTTCAGACTCAGTTATGTTTTGATGTAATTCTGATACTTGCGAATGTCATCAGTCTCATCTCTTTGACAAGACCAGCAATAATACGATGTTATAGAATCACAAGGACAAGGTTAAAAAATACTACAGTATTTATAGCAATCTCAGTTGACTGTCATATATATACCAAGCTATTATTTTATAGTATTCACGTTTTCAGGAGAAAAGCAGTAGCCTTTCTGGAAAGTGAGAAGTTTAAAATATTATGCATTTGTGAAAAGGTCAGATTCCCCTTTGTACATACTGTTAGTGTGTCAAAGTTTTGTTTCTTTTACTTGACAGGGCTATCTGGAACTCTTTTAGAGAGCAATGATTGACTGCAAAAGCAAACAGAGATTTGTATCTAAGTTAATGAATGATGGGGGTTTGTAACTCACAGCTTTTTGATTACAGAATTTGTTTCTGTGGTAACGGAGTCGTGTTGTCACCTGAACTATTTATCATTTTTTAGGTTTCGTCATAGTCCAAATTGCTGGTACTTGAGAGACTGGACCATCCACAGCTGGATCAGACAGTGTTTGAAATATGGTGCTCAAGACAAAGCCTTATACACATTAAAAAACAAGGTAAGATTTACAGAGGAAAAGCATGAATGTGTTTGATCAGCCTTTTGAGACAAGTGTGGCTTGACTGGAATTCCTGTTGCAGCCAGGTCCTGTAGACTGTGGTTTCAAGTTCAGATATTTCTTTGTTAAAATAAAAATTAATGTTGCATTTGAATTAGCTCTGTCTCTTTACAGCTTTTAAATCCTCATCTTTCCCAGGAAGCTTTTTGGTTTTAAATAGCATTGGTGTCCAAAACATGCTAGATGCAGAAGAGGCAGAAAAACGTGACAGGCAATGCCATTCCTGGTTCCAAAGGCTCAGATAAAATGCCAAAACAAATGCAGTGCATCAAAAGCTGGAAGACCTACATCACAGGAGGCATGCTAATCTCCCCGTGTTACTTGACTGTACATTGCAGCAGTGTGCAGCGCCATGGTTCTGGTCTTTCTGATACATGTAGGGCTGTGGTTGGGAAGATTTGTACAACACATTTGCACACAAAACTTTTTCATTCTTCTCTTTAGGTTCAGTATGGAATTTTTCCAGATAATTTTACATTCAATATTTTGTTGGATTGTTTTATAAAGCAGAAGAAATATGAAGGTAAGAAAATATGTACGTATACTGCATCCTCTGTTGTATGCTCTTATATTTGCAGAGCCTTTCTTTGAATTAAAAGCTTTTAGTAATATTTTTTCTGAAGCCACAGTAAAATATGCCTTCTCCTTCCTTTAAACTCTTTTTCTGCATTTTTATGTCTCATTTCTGTTGAGTTTTTGTTCATTACAGAATTTTGAAACCTCTAAGATTCACAGTTTCTAGTATTATTAATCCTATTACAAATGTAAACCGTCTTCCTAAGTTTTTACAAGTCCGATTTATGTGCTAATAGCATCACAGAGGTTGTTAGTGACAATTAATTAGAATGTTACCAGAATCAATATGCATATTGGTAGAGTTCATCTTCCAAATGTTTAGCTGTTCAAAAAGCTACGTATGTAAACTTTGTCTAGGCTTTGTCACTGGAGCAAGCCAGCTATGCTGAATTGTCATGTCGGGGGTACATCTCACTACTGACTGTTTAAATGTTCAGATGACTAATCCTCTTGTATTTGATGACATATTAAAGATTTTAATTTCACTTCAGGTATTCTAGTGCTGTAGACTTACAGTAAGCTTTCCTTTGCCTAAAGCTCTTGTAAAACAAATGACTGAAAGGAACAACAGCTTTTATTGTGAAGGTTATGCTAAATGGCAAATTAATACATGTATTTATTTTGAGACACACCTCTATCTTTGAATTCCCCCTTATTTCATCCATACTTCTTTTCTGTGTGAGGCTCAAGGCCTTTTGTTTAACAAACTGTCCTTTCTGACAGGGAGTGTCTCTGGAACTCCCTGCGGAGCTCCTCCAGAGCATTGTTTGCTGAATACAGAGACTTCTGTGGGTGATCTGTGACAACATTTCTGCTCCTTTGTACTCTCCTGTCACCCTAAGGGTAGTGTAGTTAAGCCAGTCTTCTCTTATCTGTAATCAAAACACAAAACCAAATAATTTTAAATTTTTTTTAAATGTTAATAATTGAAGAACTGAGCAAAGAAGGACCAATTGAAGAGTGTAGAGCTAAGATGATTGAGAGCTCGTTTGCTGTAGTTTCATGCTATCAGCCTATTCTTTCTTCTTGCAGTGTGTTTGAATAACCCTAATGAATAAGAGTAATTCTGTAGTTTTATTCTGGTTGTAAGAAATGTTTAACTTTCTCCCTAACTATTTCAAAGCATACTACAGCAATAAAGCATAAGGGAACAATAAGTGGGTACAAAAGGCAGCTGTGTACTGGGAGCTGTGCTGATTATGTATTGTTTTCCTCCATAGATGCTATGTCAGTAGTAACAGAGATCATGCTCCAAGAAAGTTTTGATGAATTATCAACACAGCTTCTTTCCCTGTATGTTTTATACCAGTATCTGGCAACCAAGTCTGATCATGCGGTAAGCTGACTACATTCAAAATGGTACACAAAGCCTCTGCTTCTGAGTGTTATGATGCAGTCAGTTGGGCATTCAGTCGTGAATATTTTTAATTCCCCTAACTTTACCTGGAAAAAATAAGTACTCCATAGTTTTCTTTTTTTTTTTACAACTACAGAAGAAAGAACCAAAACAAAAACAAAACCAAAAAAAAACACCACAAAAGTATGAAAGCCATCAAATCAGTTGTCTGGCCTTTTGCTTCTTTCTCTGGAAGGGAAGGTGTGTTGAGATTTTCAGATGTAGTGTATTTGAAGGATATGAAATAATAGTTCAAAGCAAACTCTTATCAATTACTACAAAAAAACTGTGGTGCATATTGTATAGGACCCTGTTAAGCTTAGTGTTGCTCATCATTAGATAATGGTGGTGTTGTAGAATTACAGAGCATTTTCACTAGGTTTTCTAGTATCCAATTTGGCTTTGGGTGTATCGTTTCTTATACGTATTTGTTTTAAAACTAAATTTGTTACACCCCTCCTGTCTCCTAGGATTAGGGGATTATTATTCACAGCTTGCTTGCTTAAGGCCTACGTGATAGTTCAGCATCTTGGAACTGGCATTATTCTACCTTTGTAGAAGAGGCTCAGTCAGCAAAGGGCTCTGCAGTGTCCATCACTTTTAGGGAGCCGTTTTTCATGTAGTTTGGCACAAGCTTTCAACAGCATGTTGTCATGCATAAGGAATATGCTTGAAGCCTCCATTTTTCTTACATAAACCATCTTCCAAAATGCATATTACAAGTATCTAAAAGTTTTACCCAATAGGGTTGTAACTTCAGTTTTCACCAAAGAAAAGAGATGTGCATTTGCCCTGTTGGATAGTCTTCTTCACTAGCAGAAATCAAGTATGCTCAGTCACTTGTATATGAAAAGCATAGGCACGAAAATGTCATTTTTCTAGTGTGTTTGTCTACGTTGTTTGCGTGCACATCCTTACTGCAGAGACAAGCATTTGACAGTACGTGTAGTGTTTCATGAAAGCTGAATGTGCAAGCAAGAGTGGTGTGAACATACATCATGTTGAAGGCAACTGTATTGACATAGCTGTGACTTATTAAATATGTATTTTGAAATAACCCCATCCAAAGACAGCAATGAAACAGTATTTTTATTTGTAGACACCATTTAAATCCTCATGATACTCAGCACCAATTTTCTGTGATAGATTTAGGAAGTGGGAGCAGAGGGAGTAAGGAGAAATGCTCGGCTACCCCTGAAAATCCCATTTTCTCTTCTCAGGGAGTGAGACAGGTCAGCCAGTGTCCTGCTGCAGAATAAGTCCTTGGCTCTAGCTTGGGGTCCAGCAGCCTGATGAAATGTTTTTTTAACTTTGAGAATTAAATCTTGGGCAATCTGACTGTATTAGTTCTTAGTGTGTATAGCAGTGGTGATAGGGAGCTTCCATTTCTCTGCTGTTGTACACACCACTGAAAGCCTGACTGGTCTTGGCTCTCCCCAGAAAGTTTCCTCCTTGACAGTTGTAAATAATCAGTATGATTGCTGCCTTTTCCTACAAAGCAGTTCCACTAGCTCCCAAAAGTACCTAGGCTGATAAAAGCCCTGTTTTTCTGGTTGCATCTGATTTTCTTATAACATTCACCTGGAGTGCTGAATTCAGCACAAAACAACCCTGTTCCCCTGTATGCTTTCTCTGAGTTGGGCAAATACCTTGCCTGGCTGTCAGGTGGTGGTATTTTGTGTCAGATGGTAACATACAAATTCTTGTAGCACCCGAATAGAGGCACAAAAAAAAAAAAAAAAAAAAAAAAAAAAAAAAAAAAAAAAAAAAAAAAAAAAAAAAAAAAAAAAAAAAAAAAAAAAAAAAAAAAAAAAAAAAAAAAAAAAAAAAAAAAAAAAAAAAAAAAAAAAAAAAAAAAAAAGAACCATATCTGGAAAAGACAACTCTAGTAAAACCAGAAGATCGAACTTTTGTGTTTCAGACTCAGTGTGCTTCAAGGATTTTTTCAGAAAGCTTTTTCCCTTTGCCTGGAGTATTTCTTTCAGTTTGTAAGGTAATCAACAAGACATTGAAGTACCCTGTCACAAAAACCATGTGTTAAAATAGTCAGACTTCCTCCAATCTGTAGCTTCCTTTTCCTCATTTTCTTAGCTGTGGGAGTTGTTCACCTCCTTTCACTTGCAATAATGCTGCTTTCACTTGCTTGCTTGGTCATGAAAAATGCACTGTGCTGTGGTACAAGCTAAATAAAATGAACTCTGCTCTCGTGGTTTTAACGTACTTACTGATAGGACACCCTTCTTTAGCCATCACTGGTGGTCTGGCCAGACAGCTGGTACGTCTTTGTAGCTGGAGAGACAGCTGTACTTTTAATCCTGTGGCATGGAGGGGTCTTGGTGAGTTGCACATGCTCTTTTCACAGAGCAGGTTTTGCACTCAAAGCAGCCATTAGCTGCATATTCTTCTCTCAGCATTTTCGTGTTCTAGTGAGGGGTAGTGGAGTGTGTATCTAGCCACATACTTTAAAGAAAAGGCTGCTGTAGTAGAGAAGCCATGTAATGGTTTTCTTCAGCAGTGCTAGCCTGAAGCAAGTCGTAGGACATACAGGACAGAGATGGAGCTTGGCCAGTGTAAATCAGTGTAATCCATTGTCCTGAAGAAAATGCACTGATTGACTTCCGTGCAAAATCTCAACCACTCACATTTTACAGTCTTCTGGGAAGAAGTGACCCTCCATATAATGTGTACTGCTCCTGTAACTGAACACTGGGCACGTTTAATGATTCTTTATTGCTAAGACATCTGATGAAAGCCACGTGCTGTCTTTGCTGCCATTTTTTTGTGTATTTGTTAAGGAATGCTTACTTAGTTTACATTTTTTGCAGTGGGAAGAGGAGAGAAATCTTGGAGCATCGCTAGTGCTTGCGGGTCTAAAGCAAAATAGCACTGTGGGTTTTAGCTCCCAGCTGTATGGCTATGCATTCCTTGGTAAGTTTCACCTTCCTGTCATCTTTTCCCTCTTGTCTTCAGCAGCTTAATAAAATTGCCATCTTTGCTTTGTAAAAGTGTAATAAAGGAGAAGACTGAAGCCGAATTTTTGCCCCCCAAAAAGCACAGAGAAACTGCTTTAGAGATAAAATTTGATTCTTCAAAGCAGGAGGTATTTTAATGCAACGCGTTGGAGAGTTCCCAGGTCATCCTGGACAAAGAACTCTGTCGAATACATTTAGCACAGTTCTTTTATACAGTTCCAGAGTATAGGATTACATCACAAACATGCATATTCATTAAATTGCAACATCTACTTGTAATATTCATATATAGGCGGAGTCTTTAATTTGGGGAGGTTTAGAGGTGGGAGTTCCT